TATATTAAAAATTTTATATATAATTTATTTAATATAAATAAATTTCTTTTAAAAACTTTTTTATACGAATTAAAGTAAATTTTTAAAATGTTATTTTCTAAATATGATAATTAATAAATAGTAATTAAATATGTGCCCGGGAAAGTCTGTAAATAATATTTTATATAATCTACTCTCTCTAACATTAAACACACACATACACATACATTCATATTAAAACCTCAATAGTTGGTCGCTTCAAGTTACAACGTATAATTATCCGTATAACGCACGGAACACAGTCATACGGTTGCATGCCACGAATTCTTAAAGCAGGATGTCGCTCTAAAAAAAAAAAAAAAAACGTTGGAAGTGCACGAACGAAGCAAGATGCTGGAAGTCTTTATCTGGTGAATCACTCTCTTAAAACGACACTCTACGAGCTTTCCACCGTCCTCGTCGAAAACGATAATAATCGAGACGATAGTCGCGCATCCCGTCTCCAGCTGCGCGCCGCGCTCCTTCACGGTCTCCCGCTGTTGTAAAAAGCTTCCGTCTATTATTCTAACGTCTTTTCTCGCTTCCCGTTAACATCCGCCTCATTGACACGGTGACACGCGATCATCGTGCGCATTCAGAAAGAAAGGAGTTCGATAAATGCCGGTTTTTGTCAAACACAATAATGCAGTTTGAGATCAGTTTCTCTCTCTCTCTCTTTCTTTCTCTCTTTCTCTCTCTCTCTGTTTCTTTTTCTTTGTCAACATATGCATAATTAAATAAAATTTATAATTAAATCAAAATGAAGCGACTTTTGTATCTAATACAGTACATTAATTTTCCATTTTTTTAAAAAGAAGTACTAAAATATTTTCTTTATATCATTCTAATAGAACCGTGTCCGTGGCTTCTTTCTCTAAGTATGGAAGTAACTGTGCCTGATAATAATAATTATTAATTATCGTCATCGCGCGCTTATGTTCTATGTAATATTAACCCGCATGTGCACACAATTTGTTATGCACCAAAGATTAAACCTGCACTTTCCTGAATGCATTTCAATTTAACGTCGATATCCTTGAAATAGAAAAACTTATTTAGAAGAAAAGAGAATGTTGTGAAATTAAATTAATAAATAAAGGAGACTACGAAAGAAGAATTGGTATTTGGCGCACTAGGCAAAAAATGATGTTTATCTCTTCTTTTTTTCTTTCAATCAGCTAGGTATGTAGGACGTGCGCACATTTTGTCGTTGCGTGCGGCGCCTGGCGATGGATCGAATTCGCAAGACGAGACGGTCAACACGCAGCGGGGACGATGAGTCATGTTTTTTTTTTTCTACTAAGGTCAATGTCTGCGTTTTATCAAAGGCGAACGACCAAACTGTGTCCGGTAATTGCGCATGCACACGCGCGCGCAATTTCAATTTTATAATTAATATGTTCTAATAATTCATAAATATATATCAATAATGATTTTATAATTGTACATATTGCACGTTACATAATTATTTATATATCTATAATTTTATATTACTAATATATTATTATTATATAAATTAATTACGAAAGTCGCTTCGCATGCACATTAATGCCGCGACATACAAGTTAAAAATCGCTGAATTAATCATAAAATAACCGAAGTACCGAAAATCCGAAGCTCATCTTTCGTGAGAAAAAATATTATGCGGATCAAAGGTTAATTGCGCAAAATTAGAGAGTCAAGATAAAGCGATAATCTCGGTAGAAAGGAGACGTTTGTTATTAAGCGGAAGTGCAGGGTCATACGCAGACCACAATTATTTCCGACTCGAGTTTTTTGCGTGCCGACCGGCCGGCCAGTTTCTCAAACAAAACAATGTGTCGCAGCTCTTTGTGCATTCGCCTCTTTGAAGCACGTAACGATTCGGCGCGAGACCGAAATCTCGCGTCCGGTCGATCTTTAATTCCGTCCGGTTTAACTGTACTTCATTAATCCGTTAGCTCACTAGCCGGAGCTATGCGCTCACAACATTCCTTCATAACCGTGCCGCATTATATTACGTTGTTATAACGTTATGATGCAAAATACTGCATATCTCAGAGAGAAAGCCTGAGAGCGGTCATCTCCCAGATTTAAAACCCGTATTTGAGACCCCTCTATATCCACATAAAATCTTGAACTACGTAGCTACATAACATGTTATCCACTGAGGAATTCGTGGTCCATGTCTCCTTTCTATCAAGATCATTGATTTACTTTATCCTCTTAATTTCACACAATTAACTTTTGATCCACATAATATTCTTTTCTCGTAAATGATGATCCTCAGATTCTCAAAAGTACTTCAGTTATTTTATGATTAGCTATCTCCTTTACGTTCTGTAGCGTGTTATGTTTACAAAACGCCGATAATTTAAAATTGTAACTGGTTCGTCTTGCAAATTTATTTTTGCTAGAGTATATTAAGAGAAAATTATCCTGTTGAAGTCAATCTTATATGCAAAAATTTATTATATAACTATATACATAACGTTCGAGTAGAAAAGAAGAAAGATTTGTTTTTAACAGGCACAAAATTGTCTATGTATGTACATTTTTTGTAATATAAATACAAAGATAAAGTCTGTCGGTTTTAAATTATAATATTAATCAGAATCAGACTCACTGGAATCACTTTCACTATCGTCTATTTCCTGATAAGCGCAGTATCTATTCGTATTTACAAAGAGCTCCTCATCGTCACACGTAGTATAATTCGTTGTTATCGACTGTCCGTTTCTTTTCGGATCTTCATCGAATTCCGGTGGCCAACAATTCTGTGCACGATACCATTTTATGTGATCCTGAAAACGTATATACATTATTAATAAAAAATAAAATAGTATCTTTTTTAATCTGTTGCAATAGGATTTTAACTTGACTTTTTTTATTATTTTATTAATCAAGCGACGCGACGTCAAGTATATAAAAATTTATTTCTGGTATATTTTATATAATTTTATTGATATTTGAATCAGAAATTTTCGTGTAAAATGATAGAAGAAACCATGGAAATAGCTATAAGACGATGAATTACCTTTGTGAGTATCTTGACAATTTCGCCCTTAACCTTTTTCCCTTCCTTGATTGGCTCGATAATAATATAGTCTCCTCTCTTTACCCAAATATTCTGTCTGAATTTGGTAGGCATCGAGACGATGAATTGCTCTCCGGAGGGAGTGACAATTTCGTGAAGATTATGGCCGCGGGCCTGAACGATTCGTACGATGGTTTGCGAATCCGTGGGAAGGCTCATATCGTCAAACTCTTGGAAAACGTATTTACGTTTCGTCGCTATAGAAGATGACATTGTGCTCTGTAAAAAAACTAAATATAAAAATACCATAAATTTTAATCTTTTTTCTCTTCTTCATTAACTTTTTCTTATTTAAAACATAATTCTTCGCATTTTCAAAGATCGTGATACAAAATTGGTTTCGTGATTTCCGTAATTTAAATAGCTTTATGAGATTTCGGCGACTTTTCGATGGTTGAATCCTCTGCTGGTTTAAGTTTGCGACTTTTCACATCATGCCACCAGCCTAGAGAACCATCAGATTTTTCCAAGGCGGCCCACACGTCTAAACTTTCGCCGGGCGATACTTCATATCCATTCTGCAAGCCATGAGGATTCGACGGGGTCTTGCAATCGTGAGCAGACTCTTTGCGAAGGACAGTATCGACTTCCACAGCGGTAAAAAACGCTACCGACATTGGCAGATCTTTCATGCCTAGTCGAGAGGCGCAGAACGATCTCGTCAACAAGTTGGTCACGTGCATTGCCAGCGCGGCGTTATACTTGTACCTAGACGGGACCAGATATCTCACTTCATCATGAAACGACAAGCAGAATCTTGCGTTATCTCTCATCAACCATCTCATGCAGACCAACATCAGGTGAAGAAAGTCCACCGCGCCGCTCTGCACAACCCAATTAATCTTGGTGGGCAAGAACTTGTCGTCGTCGTCGGTATTGGTGATCTCCAGAGCGCGACTCAATCTGGCGTTGAGAAACGGTGTGACTGGATGTTTACTGCCAGCAATCTGCTCCAACCGGTTGAACATGGCCGATTCCGAACCATCTATCCATTCGGACTTTTGGAACATGTCTTGCAACGTTTTTCCATGCAACTGTGCTATCTTATATGCCTGATAAGATGTATAAGGCTTATCTTCCAGATCATTATTAACAAATTCAGTCTTTAGTCGAAACACCTTTTTACCCTTGGTCAAGGCGAACATCTTGCGCGACTTAGAAGTAGCCTCGGCATCGGTCATGGATGGATTAAACTGTTTCAACAATCGCTCGGCGAATTTTTGGCCGGCGCCGTAGATCCGTGCGTAGTTGATGACCTTGGCGTGGTCACGTGAAATACCGATGGCTTTAGCGGTGACACTGTGCATGTCCGTGCCATTGGATTTAGTGCCAATCAGAGTCATCCAGCCGAAAGGCGTTGCTCCGTGAATACTTTTGTAGTGCGCGTCCCCGATGATTGACGCAATCCACAACTCTTGGCTGTCTACGTCGGCGCCGACAATATTATATCCTGGCGGCGCTTGAACCATGCATCTCAACTCGGAACCAATTCGTTCGATATGTGCGTTTGATGCTGTCATCCACGTGGGTTCCACGGCACGTCGCGTTAAAGTACCGGAAACGACTACTTGAGGTATTATCGCGCCATAACGCGTATGTTTCTTGATCCTCTTGACACTACCAGGCAGAGAACAGTCGTCTAACCATATCACCAGCTGCGACATGATCCTGTCGCGATTGTTTCGCCAGTAGGACAACATACGAGCGATTTTCAGCACCTCCGCGGCACTGACGTCCAAACCGGCGAGTACGTTCTCGGAAAATTTATTGAGAAAATCCTTGGCGAGCGGGTTACCGACGTTATGACCAACACCGTCCTTGTGTGGTAGCTTAAAGAAGTAGCAACAGTTATCAATGTCGACGTTGCACCACATGCCGGTACCCTTGTATATCTTATCATCCGGCCCGTTCTGCTTTTTCTTAAACCGCCAGAATTCCGTTTTGTGGAGATCGTCTTGCACATCTGTCCTCAAAGTGGACATCGCGTCTTCGGATGTGTCCCTACATTTGTTGGACGTTGGCAAAGGGCAGTGCGCTAAAAGACTTTTTAACGGTAGTTTAGTCTCAACATCGAGATCATCGTTGTAAGGCACCAAAATTCCCCAACCATGTTCCTTTATGTAATGTAGCGGATACTTTTCCCATGTCAAATTTAATAGTTTTGGAACTACTTGCATGGAGGTGCTGATGTTCTGCGGACCTGGCATCCAATCTTCGTCGTTTGGCTTGGAACAGAGTTTTCTATACCAGGCTGGATATCCCGGCATATGGGGCATTCTGGCAGGTAACAGATGCCTAGTCTCCTCTAAATAAGCAAATTCCTTTGCCAAAAGATCTTCCTCTTCTTCTTCGTCATCTGATAAATATCTCTTATTGTCTGACTGTTCTTTCATATTTTCTTTTGTCTCTACATTGGCAAGTTCTACTTTTGTTGGAGACACTTTATTCTTGAGTTTAATTTTCTGCGTACACCAATCTTGATCCCACATCCATAAATCTTGTTTATATCTCTCGTCGTGCATGAGCTGGCAAACGGCGTCGGCTCTCTTAGCGAGAGTGAACTTTGCTTCATAATTTAAATCGTCAAAAGTGGATTCTGATTCTTCCAGGTATCTCTGCCAATTAGAATTCACTGGCAAGTATGCAGAGCCGAGTTCTAACATTCCAGCTAGAGTAACTGGATGAGGAAATCTCTCTTGAAAAAGCGGAAATAAATTACGTAGAACATTGTGAGTGGCAACAGTATCAGAGGCGCAATAAGTCATCAACATATCAAAATTAGTTTTAACATCTTTGATAGTACCTTTGACAAATATGTCTCTCGGCTCCTTACTTATCTCGTAGCCACAATACAGCTTATGCACTTCTATCAAGCTGTTTAGCGATGTGTTGGATTGCCAGTCATATTTTTCTAAATCCGTTTTTTTAGATAATAATAACGATCTTTGGTAGCTATTAAGACCGCTGACACATACATGTAATGACATAGTATCGAGAAAACGACTTCCTGTACAATTCATCCAATATTGCTCTTTAATTCTACATCTGTCATACGACACATTGTGACCTATAATGATCTTTGGTTTCTTCTGATGTTGATTCAATTTGTGTCCATGTTCTTCTCTGCTACTTTCCATAGGAATAAGCATATTTGGCATGAACCATTGCGTGTCAAACATCTGATCAATACCTTGCGCCAAAGAATTTGATACCCAACTATACCAAGCTTTATTACTGACTGCTGTGGCAAGAGTAGGCAAAGGACCCTGTTTCATGCAAACTTCAACGTCGAAAACTATTCCATCTTCCCATGGATAATCTACACTTTCTACCCTACCATCTGCCGTATATCTGGTCCAGCCTTCTTTGAAGAACCATTTTTTTGGCATCTCAGGAATGTCCTTTATAATTTCATTTATGATTTTTAGATATGGCTTAACCTGCTCTCTTCCAATGTTGTAAAAATGTTCCTCTATGTCTTTTCCTTCCAAAATTGGTAGCTTCAAGTTTACATCCGGCAACCTGGTTGCATCCTCTACATTTATGCTATATGTGCTTAAATTTTTTTTTATGCTGCTGATTTCCTCTTCGGAGAGACATTCTTGTTTATTATCCTTCCTAAACAATTGTTCATGCAACGATTTGGACAGCATTTGCATATTAACTTCATTAACTCTGGTAGTATCTTCTCTTAGATTGGTGTCCGTATCAACATCCGTGCTATTTCCTGATTTTTTAAATTCCTGAGCATCATTTTGGGTTATTGGTTGATGTGACGATTTAGTTATTTGCATGTTTACATCGTGAGTTTTCAATTCTACGTCTAAATTTACTTTCTTATCCACTTTCAATTCTTTTAAAACCTGCATATTAATATTTGATTTGTTTGATGTCCCTTCAAATAATTTGCAGAAACCCGCTTCGAAATTATCGGGTATTGCAGGCGTATTATAAATAGAGTTCAATGCGGGTTGTGCGGCGCTTTTAGAGGTTGGATCCTCCTGGCGGAATTCCACATGTCGTACAGTTTTTAAACGTACTTTTTTCCATTGACTCTTCTTGGAAATTCGTATATCATCCGGCACCTTTGTGCATTTATGCCGAATGCAAATATTAATCAAACGAACCTTCAACCGCATTTTATCGTCTCACATTTCTTCCTTCGAATATCTCGCGGCTAATAAAACACGAAGCACATGTTTCAGTAACTGAACCTATCGAAACCGCGTGCATTATAAAGCGACATTTTGTTGACAATTTTAATACAAAATAAAAAGAAACAACATCTTACCTGACGATATTAAATAAAGCAAACTCTATTTGATATCACGGAATTATTCAATAATTCAATAAACTGTTTAAAAATCGTCAAATTGTTTTCATACAGACAGAAAAAGAAGCCTGAGAAAGATCTAGAAGTCATGCCAGTGTTTTACTGGCTGCTTTCCGTACTACGTACAGCAGCGCCATTATATTCAGGAATTGAAAATACATATCCACATCCACTTTTCGACTGTTGGTATATGTTTATTTGTAAATATTTCCAACAATATTTGGAGTGATGACTAAAATTTAAGGTTTATTGATGTAAATTCTTAAGGCTTTTATTTTATCTCTTTTTTATTCTCCTCCCAAGAAAAGAAAAAGATAAACTCTAAACTAATACAGCCAGTTCAACTCATTGTCAGCTATAAACAAAAAATAGACTCTCTTTCGAGCTTCTCTCTAATATATACTAGTACGCTTGATCACGCAATTCAAAAATCAATAGCGAATATGCCTTTCATAGTTATACATTCTTATAATTATAAATGTAACTTTTTCTTTATACAGTATTATGAATAATAAATAAATAAATAAAACAATTAACAAATTTATAATTATAAATCAATTACTTTTACTAATAAATATAGTCAGTTTTGACTGAAAATAATTTTCTTGGTTTATAATTTAAATTTGAGAAAATGATTTGTAAAAAGGCATAGTTTTTTTTATAGGAAATATATCCGCCTCTCTCTTCGCAAATATTGAAAAACTCACTATATCTGTATATATATATATATATATATCGGTCTCGCCGTATCGTCTGTGATCGCGACGACATCTCGGCGTCCGCCAGTTTATTGTGTTCATCATGGCTTCGATGGGTTAGTATTCGTCGCGAAAATGTTATTTAATTTGCCGTTTTAATTTGTTTACGCGACGATAATGGAATGTAGCGCGGATAAATAATTTTCCCCTTCACTCTTCGTGAATTTTCTGCCGTTTATCGCATCGACGTAATTTAATTTTGCGTCTTTCCGCGCACTTGTCTCGGTCTGACCGCCTGACTTTTCCTCTGTCACCTTTTGTTTAAACGCACGTTGTATCCACATGTATCTGCGAGAATATTAAGTTGAAAAATCTTTGCTTGTTTTTAGAATCTCTGGTGTGCGATACTCTCGATCTGAGCGGTCAGGGCCTCAAGAAACTCAGCCGATGTCCCTCAGACGCTGATATTAGTACGTTGATCATAGACGACAATGACATACAACGGCTTGATAATCTGGATTCTTATCACAGAATTACCAAGGTAATTTATGCGTAAATTTATATAAAAGGTATTGTTAATCCATATATATATATATGTAAAGCTTTGTAACTAGCCCTTTTAATTCTATAGCTGTGTTAAGCCTTTCTATATATAAAAGGATTGTAAATTTTTTATAAAGTTTTATTACGCATTAATTTCTATCATTTAAAACAGTCTCAATACATTAGTAGAATTGATATAAAATTCTAGTATTTATATATTATATAATATATAAAATTATTTATTCTATCAATGCAATGTACAAAAGTGTATATATGTATTAAAATATATATATATGTATGTTTCTACTAATTTCAGCTTTCTATAGTCAGAAACCAATTATTGCGTATGTATGGTGTGTCAAAGTTACATAATCTTGTTACTCTCAATTTGGCAAACAATGGTATACTCACAATAGAAGGTATCAAGGACATGATCAATTTGCAGACTCTCTGTCTAGCGGGTAATAATATCAAGGTATGATGGAATGCAATCATAGTATTCTATTATTCTGTAATATTATAATATGTAATAATGGTATATTTTATAGTCTATTGAACATCTACACACAAATATCAAATTGGAACATCTGGATTTGTCTGAAAACAGCATCAGCCATATTTCAGATATATCTTATCTGCGAAGTTTAAAGGTATATCATTCTGGATATATTTTTGTCTAGAATTATTATGTAACAATAATTAAATGCTTTGATTTGTTGCTTTATTTAGTTTAGTTTGAATGATGCTTTACAATTAATGTATATCTTTTATTTAGTATTATTATATGATAAATAATGTTTTAGGAACTTTTTTTACATAATAATCGCATAATAACACTGCGTCAATGTGAGCGTTACTTACCCACATCTTTAGAAACATTTACATTGGCAAATAACAATATTACTGATCTGAATGAAATGTCACATTTGGCTAATCTTAAAAATCTGGTGAATTTCTCTATTGCTAACAATCCATGTGTCAGTATGACAGGTAATAGTATGTATCCTTTTTGTAAATCACATGCACACACGTTACTATTTCTTCTAGAAATCAGTAGACTTGTCGATGTTATCTTTTAATATTAATTATAGCTGCAAAGAAATTTGTTATACTAAGACATAATATCGTAGCATTCTATTTTTTAAATACCGTAAGTGATAATTTTTGCTGGTTAAATATTGCTTTCACAGTTATTAGATATAAGAAAATTAGTCTACATTTATCATATAGCATTACAATAGCATATTATTCTTAACAAATGGTCTATAGCGGATTCGACTATCGGCCTTTTGTTATTAATTGGTGTATGAGCTTAAAATCCATTGATGGTTATGCGGTTGATCCTATTGAAAGGTGGGTTTCTCGAAATATATTTTTATATAATTAATATATCAAGATTATGATTCGCGCACATTTTGAATTTGAATAATTAAAACTAATTGGCAACAACATTTACTCAGCTTGAAAGCAGAGTGGCTGTATTCTCAGGGACGCGGTAGACAATTCCGCGTTGGTGAACACGCCTTACTTGCTCAATATCTAGCATCTGTCTGTCCGCTTTCGGGCGAGTCCTTAGAGAACGAGACGGACAGGAAACTTAGGCTGATACTGAGCAAAGCTCAACATCACCAACAGCAATTAAATCAACAGAGCGATGCCGGGAGCGTGCACAGCTTAAGTAGCGTGACAATGAGTCCTTCTCCAGCCGCTAGACGTAGACTTAGTCATAACAAGACAAACTCTCCCAGACGACCTAGTGAGTCCAATATATCCATCTTTTTTGCATAGAGCCGTATTGGAGACTCGAATGGAATGAGTTTTTTTAAAAAATTCTTAGAATCCTTTTTAGAATTCAATTTAATATCATATTTGCGAGAAGTGGACTAGTGATGTAGATTTTCCAATCGTCAAGTTGTTTGATACACACATCCTAGTTATGATCTGTTTTCTCTAGTGCCAATATTGACATACTATGAAGATAAATGCTTACAATCACCAAAATTTTATGAAGCAAAGTACTGTGTCTGCCATATCCCTTGCAAAGGTATCCAAGGTCAAATTGAGGATTTATCATATATATTGAATAAAATCATATATCAGGAATATGCAAGAATCTAAGAACAATTTTATCCTTTAAATTGTGCTTAATGAAAATTATATATTTCAATTTATGTAGTTATTGTATAATCATTTAAATAATTCAAATTAAATTGAATTGAAGTTTTATTTTTTATTTTTAACAATTTTTATATGAACATTAATATTAGTCATATATATAATATTTTTATAATGTTTTACTTTCATTGTTAGTCTTTTACAGTCTATATATCCCACTTTTAGCAAATATTAATCAATTATTCAAAACAATTGAAAGATGAAAGAATCAATTAGTTTGGATTCATGCACATACCTATTCCTCTCATGCATAGTACTTTCTGAGCAGTTGCTTCTTTAGGCTTATAGTGCAAACGACCATTGGCCAATGAAAGCAGTTAATATATTATTACAGCTATATATTTAGAGGATTTTATTAGCATATTAGCATTGGACGATTTGGAAAGAGACCTTTTCACATAGTTCACATCTTTTCTTTGAATAGTATATTTAATGAATAATGTAGTATAATTTTAATTAAAGTAGATTACATACAAATCTTTCTTGCATGTTTTTTTGCTAGCAATACTAGCATCTAGAGAAACTTCCCACAAGCACAAATGTATTTTATACAAACGATATATAATCCCGATTGTTGCACGATAAACATTAACAACAGTATCAAACAATGTTTAACTTAAGCTTCCTCGAGGAACTCTCTGAAAATGAAATCGCCAGACCGAATGGTATCCAGCTGTCATACTGACGCCATGGTTTCTTCGTGTCATGGTTTATTGAGCGGCGACCACGATTCGACTCTGATGACCCAAAGCTTAGATCCCAATATGCTCTCTGGTACATTAAATAACAATAAAACATCAAACAACAATCTGCAAGATTTGGAAGGTAATATAATTATATAATCAAATAATAGAATCAGATCACAATAAGAGAAAAATGTTTTTATCTAGAAACATCGAGTCCTTTGCAAGCGGCTACGAAACTTGTACCAGTACCAGAATCTTTGATGAGTCCAGATTTTCGTCCGCCGTCGGGTCTTTCGCGGATTTTACCAAAGACTCCCACACCAAGTAAATTAACGTCCCCCTGTCAAATAACAATACCTAGCAAACCATCTATGGATGGCGATGGAAAGGCAATTCCGATCATAAATACTGTCAATCCTATGGCGAAAACGAGTCTATACGCTATAAAAGCGAACGCTCTCGTAAAGAGTAATTCGGCGACAAATTGCAGCGTCGTGAAACCGAACATAGCTAAGCCGATCGTGACGTATGCTAATACCAAGTGTCCACATAGCGTCAAGATTAACAATTATGTTCAGAGCAAGACACTGCCTGCAAAGAGGAGCACAAAAAGTCCCAATCTAGCCAGAAGTATACAGCGACCGAAAAGCGCGAATGAGAGACTCAAGAGTAACTTGAACAAAGAAAATAAGAACGGCGATGTTGATAACGGAACTCAAAGTAGTGACGAGGATAGTGAAGTATGTCAAGCGAAATTGGATAGTATTCGGCATAGAGCTATTCAACGAAGGCAAGAAGATAGCAACAAAGGTAAAACATGATTTTAAAATAGGAGTATTAAAATAAAAATACTTAATGATATGCATTAATGGATACTTTCTCGGATTAACAGATCAGGATCAAACAGAAAAGGCTGCTATCTGTATTCAAAGAATGTGGCGAGGCTATCATACAAGGAATCTTAATAGAAAAGCTACTAATATATTAAAAACAATCGACATGATGAGAACAAATAAATACATCCAGTAAGCTCGCACACATTTTTGTTATGCAATTCTATATATATGATTTATAGAACAAAATACACAGGTAGAACATTTTACAGGAAACTATCAACTGACATGGAAGCTACAAGAACCCATAAATTACAATTATTACAAATGCAAGCAATAAACGCATTATGGAAGAAAGTTGTCAGTTTGCAACCAGGCAGCAATCGAGAAAACACCTTTAATGATACGGGCAATAATACTCTGCAATCAAATGCAGATATAGTTAATAATCTCACTCAAACCTGCAATCTACTTCATACCCAAGTGAGTTCTTAATGGAGTAAGTTCTGTGCACGTGATGGACTTTATAAAATGTTTCGAACAGCTTACATTTTTTTATTTCTTTTGTCAGGTCCAGCAATTGCAGGATTCGATGTCCGAGATAAAGCGTTGTATGTCTAGTATGAAGCCAAGACCCGATCCTGTTGATAACGGTGTCGCTACTCAAACGGAAATATCTGCCGTGCACACACCGGCGGGCGAAGAAAACACATTCCCGTATGGACGTCCGCAAGTTAATAGACCGCAAAGTCTGCCGATACATCAAACAATACACGAGGGAAACGAGAACAAGAGTTTCGCGTCCAACTTGGTGGACAGCGTGTTGAAGAAAGTGTCGCAATCAACTGACACGACAGACGACGAAGTCAATACGGACATCTTAAATTCAAATGAAAATCCAGAGGCGCCGCACTCGAACGATAATCCCGAGATGTTTAAGAGTTGCGAGGAGATAATAGAATCCGACTTTAAGGAGGCGGTCGAGAACGAGGTTGCGACAAACGATTACGAAAATATAATCGAGAACGCGGCAATAGATGGTGAGGTATGCGAGGAAGCGTTATGCAAGGAATTGCACAACTTAATCGAAACGGAAAATGTAGCGGAAGCTTGTGAAAACTGCGACAAGGAGAACGCGGTTAATGGAGATGATAAGGAAACCTCGTAGATTTGAATAAATTGACTCGTATTCGCACCATATGCCTTGTGAGTAGCGCAATCACGGTAAGACGGTATGTGTGAAATGAAAGAGAAAGAAGACGCGAATGGCGAAATATAATGCTCACTGTAAATAGTAATCATAATCGTAATAATATTATAAAACGAAATTTAATTTTAATCGTAAAAACCATTTTATTATAAGAGGAAATACAAGAAGGAATTTTATCAACGTTGAACAACAAGCTGCCATTCTGACGGAGTAATAATCTCTCGTGCTTAAATAAATGAGGATTGATAAAAACACAGTGCGCATAAGCGGTATCAATGAAATTTATTTCGATAATTATGAAACGTTTCAGTCAAAATTTAAGTACAATTTTTGTTACAAATTACTTCCGTATGTCATCATAAAAAATTTCAGAAATTTTCCGTCCAAACATCCAACTGTTAACGTGATAATATATACATTCGAGTAAAATATAAATTTATTTCACCGCACTGGGTATCGGGAATCGTTTCTGAAAATATTACACTAATTCTGTTTATAATGCTCTCTTTCTCATCGAAATAGATTCATAATATACTTTAAGAAAACATAACTTGCATTTCAAAAGATGCCGTTTCTTTTAAATTTAAAAACGTGTGTAAAAAATATATATTCATTATTCATTTAATATATCTAATCAGTTTCTTTCATGCAGCAGTTTCGTATTTAATAATTTATTTATTTGCAGTGCAAAGAAGTATTATCTTTAATGTACACTAAAAATACTAAAACATTAAAATAGAATAGAGCAAAAGATATGATTGAATCTCTAGTCAATACAGTAGCTTTTACATTTAGGTACACTGTAGATATTCACTTCAGAATTGTTATGTATAGATATTACTTAAGGCTATGAAATAAACATCGCAAAATCTTCATTTAAGATCCGCTATATCGTTAAAAAGCACGACTTAAGTCATATAGAAAAAATATAACACTGTGTTTCTTTTGATTCTGTTTAATATTTATATGACGTATAACTGTTCATTGAACAATTCAATATTCTGCAAATACACACGAGCTTAACTAAATTAATACTATATCTATATTGATTGCAGCATATTATATATATATGTAGTTTCTATATTTCTTATTGTTTACTCTTTACTATTGTTTATTCCCTTTCTCACTGATCTTAATTTATTACTTTGCATTTGATCACAATACATAGAATGAAAATGTTATATGTAATATAATTCTAAATCAGTTTATAATTAAAATGGATTTAAGAAATTGAAAAATTTGATTGTAATGAGAAAAGTTTATCTTGTTTTTGGTATATTTTCTTTTAAAATCGTTAGATTTCAGGAAAATATATTTCGAATTAAAACAGTGTAAATAGATCATTCATACAATTATGAACATAGCAACATTTATTCTATGCGTATAATAAAAAATGTCAAGTAATAAAAGAGCAGTGAAAAATAACGTAAAAAGGGAAATAATTAAGAGTGGAATTAAGAATGAAGAAACGCGATTATACTTGCTAAAATTTTAATGCTTGGAATTCCTTGAATAATTCAACATTTTTATGAACTTTGAGATGAATGTTCAATGTGCGTCTAATGTAACTTGCAAGATATTTGGAGCAATGTTTGCTTCAATAGAGAAAGCTTAGCTAAGATTTTTATTCTTGTGATTTGTCGAGAGAAACATGATATGATATGTGATATATAAACCAAAATAATTTTCTTGTAATAGTACGGGTTGAATAGAAATTTTCCTTATGAAACGAGAATGTAGAAACATAAATTGTGTAGTATTGTATTTATTTCTCACATTCCCTGACAACTTATAAATTTTATATACATAAGGCAATACATTCCTATTATTATATTTAAATTATATTATTTAAATTGCATTTTATATTTGTATTTAACATTGTTTTAAGAAATATACACAGGATTAGAATATGTTATGCAAATATTATTGTCTCTGAGAATATTCAATAATCCTAGAGTATTTTCTTACCCAAATATTACCCAAGTATTTTCTTAGTAAATATATCATAGATATATTTACGTTTTTAATAAAAATTTATCAAAAAAGATGTAATAAATACAGAGAATTATTAATATCCTTATATTCTCTTCATTTCATGAGTACTATGATATATATACACAAATATATAATTGATTTAAATATTAATTGAAAAATCGGTATATTAATCCTATACATTGATTTTTATTGTATAATAATCAATTAAAAATTATTGATTTTTAAATACCTAATTCAATTCCTTAATCTATATGAGGAGTGATGCATTCTTTTATCTAAAAAATAAAAATATAAAAATTTTTATTAAAACCTTTATGAATGTAAAATGTACTCAATGAAACATTTTCTGACATGTTGTTTTTTCAAATTCTAAATAAGATTTATTCATCTTTTTTACTTTTTTTATTTCTTGTGTAATATCCTTATCATTAGGGTACATCTCAAATGCTCTCTCTAAATCTGCTATTCCTAATTTATATTCATTCAAGCCAGCGTAAGCTTGCCCTCTTCTAAATAAAGCTTTACCATTAGTATTGTCTGTTTCCAAAACCTGAATTAAATTATATGTTAAAATATAACACAATCTTTTTAATTTTTCTCACAAAATATTTACTTACCTCGTTACAGAGATCTATAACTTCACGATATTTTTTCTGCTTTAGATGTACAGCAGCTAAATTAAGCAATAAAATTGATTTAAGCTCTACCAATGAGACATAAATTGTATCTGGCATGTCTTTCTGCTGGCACATCCAAAGATAATACCGTAATGCTTTTTTATATTTTCTACCAGCATCTACAAAGTTCTTTTTGGAAAAATAAAGATTACCGGAATCCTTTATTCTTTTTATGACTTTTTCCATGCTTTTGTGCTAAAAAAGTGAATAAATTAAAATTAAGAAATAATTTCATATCAATATGTAAAAAATGATTTTCAGAAATATATATGTGAATAATAATTTACACTGAGCTTCTCAATATGTAAAGAATAATCCCAATCTTCTGGCCATGGGGTATAAACATCCTCTGATCCATCATTTTCTTCCAATCCCCAATCCTCATCTTTTTTCAGTTCTCCACAATCAACTATATTTATTCTCTAAACAAAGCAATCGTGACACTGAACATTTATCATAGATGAAAGAAACTATTATCCTTGTGCACTAAGAGATACACAATCTTACATCAACTGGAATGTCCTTTTCAGTGTGCACTTTACTGATTTCTAACACTGCACCCATGCCTTTTATAATTTTTCCAAACACTACGTGAGTGTCATCCAAATGTGTGCAAGGTTGAACAGTAATAATAAATTGGGAACTATTGGTATGTGGTTTGCCTTCATTTACCATACTAAGTAATCCAACAGACTTGTGATCCAATGTGAAATTTTCATCATTGAAATAAGAACCGTAAATACTTTCTCCACTAGTCCCATCAAAATTGACAATGTCTCCACCCTGTATCATAAACTGCGAAATGACTGCAACAATACAAAATTACACGAATGTATGAGAGTCAATTATTGTAATCAATTAGATTCTAATCCTTTGTTGCTCAAATAAATAATAAATCTATGCTTCTACAGACACAGAAATCTATTTTTGTATTATAATCTCAAGATTATAACGATTGACAAAGGGAAATATGAGAAGAAAGATAATAAAACTAGTTGATTACAAATTATATTACAATAGAGGATTAAATATTGAGAATATTATGAAATGCATACCTTTGTGGAAAATACTTTCCTTGTAATGTAATCTCCTAGCCTTTGTTCCAACACCTTTCTCGCCGGTGCACAAGGCACGAAAATTTTCCGCGGTTTGCGGCACTACATTTTTAAACAGTTCTATGATGATTCTTCCCACTATATAATAATAATAAAATCATGATTTTTTTGCGCTATAACGAAATATTTACATCGCGATATTTTATAACCTCATGCGAAATACCTTTCTCATCGTTTATCGCAACGTCCAAAAAAACCACGGGATTATCCTTATCGCTAAGAAGATCGCTCATATTCCTTTTCGAGGAAAACAGTCTCACGTTTTCCTCGGTATAAAAATCGCTGTGAACAATTTTACTCATATGTAAGGTTATTCGTCAACTTTTGATGTATACGTGAAGACGTGAAGTTCACATATAAACACAAATGTCAAATTTTAAAACCGTTGTGTTTCTGATATATGCGTTGCTTCTCTAACTACTATTTTTAATACTAGAGAAAAGATCTTCTCTCTAATAATACACTAACACAATTAATTAATTATTTTATATATAATTATGAGATTTATTATTTTTGAACATAGAAAAAACTCTTTTAAAACTCTAATAATAAAGAATATTCGAACGCATAATTTCTTAAAGATATCAACGAGACCGAGAGAAAATCTCACACTCAGAATAATTCTTTTATTTGTATTTGTACGAGATAAGAAGAGATAAGAAGGATATAAGAATAAGAGAGTGTTAAATTTGTCCGAGATAAATCGAGCTAATGTGACTTTGAAGTCTGAAAATAAAACAGTTCTCAATGTTATGATCAAACTTTTGTTCGTTTTGAAAATTTCGGTATATATTGCGATTGAGATAATAAAGCTGCGTTCCGATGTTCATTGCCAGTACTGAAAATCTATATTTTACATCACGTGCACTCGTGATTTTCAGTCCTGGCAGTGAATATCGAACGCGCAGCTTAAATGATCATTATTATATTGTATAATAATAAAAATGACTGTGTGCGTGCATGTGTGTATAAAATGTAATGTACAGAGCTGGGCCGCGTTCGAGAACATCACCCGTGTGCACACGAGCGTCGTTCTATCTTTGTTCAACTTTCAGTAAATAACAAAGATAGAACGACGCTCGTGTGCACACGGATGACGTTCTCGAACACACCCCTACGAAAGCAATTGCGTCCGACATCCGATAATATATACGTAATAAAATGCCTGCGTACATTATTGTATAATAATAAAAATGAATGCGTGTGTGAGTGTGTACAAAATGTAGCGTATAGAACTGCGTTCGAACACATCACCCGTGTGCACACAAACGTCGTTCTATCTTTGTTATTTATTAAAAGTTGAACAAAGGTTGAAAAGGTTGAAGAGAGGTATACATATAAAAACTTCAAATTAAAAATTTTTTAAACTCCAACTTGATTTTCTTTTTTCTTTTATAATATAGTGAAAATTACTATCTAAAAATTAATTGTTCTTTCAACACATCTCTCAATTTTCACAAATGATAATTAATTGCGTCCGTTCTTCAATAAAATGTATAATACATCATTTTGAATATAATGTGAAATAATCTTATTGTTAGTTATGTGTTTTATATACATTAAAAATTAAAACTATATTATTTATTTTATCTACAGTTAGTTAAAAGTACTAAAAAAATAATAAAAGAAAATATATACACGTTCGCAAAATGATCAGGTCCCACCGAGATTTGAACTCGGATCGCTGGATTCAGAGTCCAGAGTGCTAACCATTACACCATGGGACCTCTTGAATAAGAGTGCAGTAGATAATGTACATAAATCATTGAAATTTTTCAATAAAAATTATTGTCAATATTATGTAATTTTAGAACATTAATTTGTTAAATTTAGAATTGGTAACAGGTGTTAGCAATTTAAATACTGACAGAATTATTACATGTATCTTCGATGAGAGATAAAAGTTTATTTCTTTCATGTATATTTGCACAAATTGAATAAATTTTAATGTTATACTGAGATTTTTCAGCATCAGTTTATAAAGTTATACTAACCAGCAATTATCAATGATCTTTGTTTTTCAGATTGTAAACAACAAGATTAAGAAATGATGGAATTAATTTGGCTAACAGATTTTGATAATTATGCAGTGGAATTTATATATTGAGAAATCACATCAAAAATTCCATGCTGTATATAATACAAATAAATATTACATATTATAATGGAGTACAAAATGAGCTCAACATTGTGCGAAATGTCATAGAGATTAAAATCTGCTAATGGGAAAATTGGATTTTGCTTAACAGATTCAAATTCTATTTAAAAGAGCAGAGATTCAAATTATGTTTACAATGAATACAAAGTCTCCATTGAAGCTAGCTCAGTACATATTCGAACTTACTTAACAGATGATCTAAATCTCTTTCTTTTTTAAAAGATGCTAAAATGGCAATAATTCTAGAATTAAATGAATAGGATAGTCGAGAACATAAAATATCCAATATCCATTTTTCTGTTTTATCATTGTAATAAGTAAGTATAACAATGAAATTTACGACGCTCGTGTGCACACGGATGACGTTCTCGAACACACCCCTACGAAAGCAATTGCGTCCGACATCCGATAATATATACGTAATAAAATGCCTGCGTACATTATTGTATAATAATAAAAATGAATGCGTGTGTGAGTGTGTACAAAATGTAGCGTATAGAACTGCGTTCGAACACATCACCCGTGTGCACACAAACGTCGTTCTATCTTTGTTATTTATTAAAAGTTGAACAAAGGTTGAAAAGGTTGAAGAGAGGTATACATATAAAAACTTCAAATTAAACATTTTTTAAACTCCAACTTGATTTTCTTTTTTCTTTTATAATATAGTGAAAATTACTATCTAAAAATTAATTGTTCTTTCAACACATCTCTCAATTTTCACAAATGATAATTAATTGCGTCCGTTCTTCAATAAAATGGTATAATACATCATTTTGAATATAATGTGAAATAATCTTATTGTTAGTTATGTGTTTTATATACATTAAAAATTAAAACTATATTATTTATTTTATCTACAGTTAGTTAAAAGTACTAAAAAAATAATAAAAGAAAATATATACACGTTCGCAAAATGATCAGGTCCCACCGAGATTTGAACTCGGATCGCTGGATTCAGAGTCCAGAGTGCTAACCATTACACCATGGGACCTCTTGAATAAGAGTGCAGTAGATAATGTACATAAATCATTGAAATTTTTCAATAAAAATTATTGTCAATATTATGTAATTTTAGAACATTAATTTGTTAAATTTAGAATTGGTAACAGGTGTTAGCAATTTAAATACTGACAGAATTATTACATGTATCT